ATGATATACGACATAGTACAATGTAGGGGAAACAAAATAGATTTGAGATGATTGCATTCTTTGTATTTAACAAACTGTAGCATGGCATTAGACATCAGTTGTGTACTAAATTAAAAAAATAAAAAAATATCAAGATGGTCACAATAGCAAACACTCAAAGGATCAGGGGCTACACAATCCTTAATTGTCTTGCATGTCAAATCATTATTCTTCTTTGCTTCACCACCACTCCAAATACCTACAATCATTATATCAACTCACAATATTAGTGTTTTCACACGTCTAATAAGCATGTATGTTCTCTCTTATATTTTTAAGACTCTTAAAATATATCATTGTGAAGTTGAAGATCTGATTTTACCAGAGAATTTAATTTAATGTCGGTATATGATATACCCATAGTAAAATATTTTATGGCAATAAGAAAGCTATAAAAGATGAATGGACTTACATGAAGCAACCACCAACAGAAGGAAGAGACTTGAAAATAGTTTGAAACTTGGAAGCCATGAAGAAGATGATATTGGTCTAAAGAGATTAATAGTGATGATGATAATATATATATATATATATATATATATATATATATATATATATATATATATATATATTGGTTAATATTTTGACTGAATTGGTAAAAAAGGATATACTTTTGGTAACAACTTAATTGGAGGAATTAATTAAGACAAAATCGTTGGTGTATATTGCATTATTATTATTATTATTATTATTATTATTATTATTATTATTATTATTATTATTATTATTATTATTATTATTATTATTATTATTATTATTATTATTATTTAAATTTGGATATTACACAAATGCCCTTAAGTTTTGGGGGGTGGGGGGTATTTGGGATCCTTTTGTATTTTTCCACAACGCCACATCTATTAGCCACTCCAGCCGCACTGGTGATCGAATTTCGGGATAGCATAGAAGAAGGATGTTTGCACATACTAATCCCGGGTTTGCTATACAGTTTAGTCAGACACTGATGTCTTGAATCAACCCAAAGCTTCCTTTGTGCCACAAATTCATAAAAATTATGATCTCTATATCGAACACTTGAACTAAATCGCCTTATTGACCTCAAACACTCCCAACAAAATCTGGTTTTTATTTCTACCCCTTCAACACCCAAATACCCTTTACATTAACACAACTACACCTAACCATTACTCTCTACTACTCACAGGAATATGCTCACTTTTGCAAGAGTAGAGAACTAAAACTAACAAAAGTCAAAAGATTCAATCTTTATAACACTATCAAACAGTTTTTGAAAACTTAATATAAAATTTCAGCCAATAAAAGAGCATGACAATAATGAAAGAGTATAGAATACAAAACTCAGTATTCACTCAATTTGCTCATTAATTCCGATTCTATGAGCAATAAATCCCACTTTCAAATATAAATTAACATAATCCATCCAATATAAACAAATTCAAGAAATCGCACTTATTCAAGAAATTAAAAAAAAAACAAAAAAAAAACAAAACAAAAACAAAAACAAAAAAAGGTACAGTTCTCCCCAAAAATTAAAGCAAATAGAAGAGAGAAAGTCATAGGATTCACCGGATTGGCTGATTGGGCAAAGATCAAATTGATCTTCCAAGATTCAATAAATTAAAGTTTCTGTCTTTCAACCTCTCAAGGCTATCCCACGCAAAATTTCACCATATGCATTCCAAACAAAACAAAACCAAAAAAGAAAGAAAGAAAAAAGAAACTAAGATAATAAAAACCTCACCCGTGCAAATCACGTATCAACCTCAACAGTGGAAGATCACAAGATAATTAGCAAAACTCAATGAAATAATCAACCTTAGTTGGAATTGTGAAATTAATGAGTTGTCGATGGTCATATAAGGTGTATTTATACACAATAGATGAGATCAAAAGAGCTTAGTATTGAAATTATAAAATGGTAAGAGATATTAAGAAAGGTAAAAGCTTCCAATTATTTACTTTCTACCCACTACTACCGGCATTCCATATACATATACATTCTGTATGTGTATAGCTTTTATATATAAATAAAATACTACACACTAATTAGCTTAATTAACAATAATCACCTTAATTACTACATAAGTACATATCGTATAATTACTACATTGTTGTAACGGTATTCTCCCTAATTATTTACATAATAATATATTACTAATATAATTATTCCTAATCTATATATATGATAATAAAACTGGGTTTAAAAAAGGTAATAACATTATTATTATTATTATTATTATTATTATTATTATTATTATTATTATTATTATTACATAAATATCCCTAAGTTTTGGAGAGAAAACTTGGCTAGGAGAATTTTACTTTTTATTATATATATATATATATAAATATAAATATAAATAATACACAGAGGTTCACACGGACCAATATCACTCAAATTGTGTATGCGCAAATTGTGGAGCAACTTGTGAATAATATCACTCAGAATATTTTCTAATGACAGCTTTGAATATTTATTAACAAACGGAGCAATGCATTTACCAAATAAGTTAATTATTACTTAAATAATTATATATCTTTATTGAGGTTCACACGGACCAATATTTATTATTCTTTCCATGAACTAAATATATATGAATTTTACATAAATACCCCTAAGTTTTGGAGGGAAAATTGGTTTGGAGGATTTTACTTTTATATATATATATAGATATATAGATATATAGATATATAGATATATAGATGGATGAGATCAAAAGGGTTTAGTATTGAAATTATAAAATGGTAAGAGATCTCAAGAAAGGTAAAATCTTTAATATTATTAAAATGCCATATTTGTCTAAATATTTGATATTACAAAAATGCCTCTAAGTTTTGGGGGGAAAACTTGGTTAGGAGGATTTTACTTTTATATATATATAGATATAGATATAGATATAGATAGATATAGATATAGATTCATACTTTTGTGGTTTAATATTTAATTATGTTAATCGGATATTATTATTTATATCCGTAATTGACTTGTCTTACACTTACATGGAATGTAAATTTCTTTGTAATTTTTCAACAATAATATTAGATTTAATTGTTTTCCCTGAGTTTTTTGTCTCGTAAAGAAAGATGGAGTAAGTAAAACATAATTCTCGAAACGAGACTCAAATATGTGACCTTCTTTTTGTAATGATAATATGATGTTATCAAATCATAAGGTACTTGACAATTCTTTATAATTAATTATACAACTCACTACCATTTAGTCCATTTCATTCTCTTTCCCTACTTTTGAACAATGGAATAAAAAAAAATAAGAAAGAAAAAAAAAAAGTCATCCTTTGTGCATTAAATAAGAAACTTTTATATATATATATATATATATATATATATATTCCAATTCATATTTATTATCAAACAAAGACTATTCGACTTAAACAAATAAAAAAAATATTTGATACACCACTATTGTATAGCACCTATATATCGATAATGAACCAGAATGTAACACAGAAAAATTTAATTTTAGATAAGTCCTTTGCAAACCATTGAAGTCCAAGTAACCACATTTCTCAAAATTATCTGGCTAAACATTCTTGAATACAAATCAATGGAGGTAGTAGCCACCGGCACGAATGTATTAGACTTAAAGTTCTTCCAAAAGGTTGAACCCCAACCCTAAGAGCCCCCCACACCCCGGCCCGACAGAGCATTTGGGAGGATGTAAATCATAGTGATACAACTGAACATGAACCATAGAGGCTAGACCGGTGCTCACTGCACACAAGGAGCCCTCACATTTTGAAACCATATGTATGCTCTTTTACATGGCCATAAATTTTTACAAGTATTCGATACATAATATTAAATAATTTATTTTAATGAAATTAAATAATTAAAATAATAATAATAATTTATAAAGTTGTATATTTTGCAAATGAAGATAAACTCAACCTTTTAGTATTTTTTCTTTACAACGAATTCCATTAGTTGTTCACTAAAAAAAAAAAAAAAAAAAAAAAAAAAAAAAAAAAGATCTGTCTCTTAAGTTTTGAAGGAAAAAAAGTAATATTTGTTCATATATACTTTCTCAACCGAGTTAATTCCAGCAATGGTCCTCCGACTATAGTGATTTTTCAAAATTAGTCCCTGACTTTTAATTTAGACACTTTAGGTCCTTTGACTTTCAATTTCGACACTTTAGGTCCTTTGACTTTCAATTTCTTTCCAATTGAGGTCCTTTCGTTAGAATACGGTTCATTAGACTTTGAATGAAGGGGTAAACTCGTCCTTTCACCTGCCTATGTATTATTCTTTGTATTTCTCCCTTCATATTTCGCTGTTATACCTTGTAAACATCTCATCTCAATAATAGAGGAACGCACACACAAGCAGTGAGCAAATGGGGAACGACAGAAATGATGAGTTTACCCCTTCATTTAAAATTCAATTAACCGTATTCTAACGAAAGGATCTCAATTGAAAAGAAATTGAAAGTCAAGGGACCTAAAGTATCCAAATTAAAAGTGAGGACTAATTTTGGAAAATCAATATAGTCAGAGGACCATTGCTGAAATTAACTCTTTCTCAACCCGTTAAGTGGAGTTTTACTCCATGTAATAAGAGAATAATTTAAACTTTATTACAGCTTTACTCAGTATTACTTTTTTCTTTTGACAAGAAAGGTATTACTTTTTTTATTACATTTTAAACTTTAAATTTCATTAGAGCTTTACTTAGTACAGAATATTATTTAGCAATATTTTATAAAAAAAAAAAATTAATAATAACATTTTTCAGTCTTAAGATGCTGTATCACATACAAAGACTAAAAGAGAAACTTTGTTAAAGCTTAAAATTAAGGAATTAAAAATATAATTTTACCAAAGTTTTTTAAATGGACATATTCAAGCTAAGCACTCTATGAGTGAAGAACTAGAACTGTAAAGTCATTTGTGGGGCATGATGACCCCTGCACTGAATAACTGCATAAGTTAAAACCAAGAACGCAGAGACTAGACGAGTATAGACAACACGAAAAAGCTTTTCAAGTACAAACCAAGTAAAATAGTTCAACACCGATGAGCTATAAATGTCTTAGAAGAAACTACTGTAATGGCAAATGGTAAAACGTTCACAACAAAATTAGAAAACTATAATTAAAGAAACATATTCTCAGCACAGTGCTCACTTCTTCTTCTGAGCAGCCTTGGTGACCTTGGCACCAGTTGGGTCCTTCTTGTCAACGCTCTTAATGACTCCAACAGCGACGGTTTGACGCATGTCCCTCACAGCAAAACGCCCCAGCGGTGGGTACTCAGAGAAGGTCTCAACGACCATGGGCTTTGTGGGAAGCATCTTCACAAAACCAGCATCACCATTCTTCAGGAACTTGGGCTCCTTCTCGAGCTCCTTGCCAGATCGTCTGTCAATCTTGGTCATCAGCTCAGCAAACTTGACAGCAATGTGGGAAGTGTGGCAGTCGAGAACAGGAGCATAACCGTTACCAATCTGACCAGGGTGGTTCATGATGATAACCTGGGAGGTGAAGTTGGCAGCTCCTTTCGCTGGGTCATCCTTAGAGTTGGAAGCAACGTAACCACGCTTGAGATCCTTCACAGCAACATTCTTCACGTTGAATCCAACATTGTCACCAGGAAGAGCCTCTTGAAGAGCTTCGTGATGCATCTCAACAGACTTAACTTCAGTGGTCAGGCCAGAAGGTCCGAAGGTCACAACCATACCAGGCTTGAGGACACCAGTCTCCACACGACCCACAGGGACAGTTCCAATACCACCAATTTTGTACACATCTTGGAGTGGGAGACGGAGGGGCTTGTCAGTGGGCCTCTTGGGTTCATTAATCATATCAAGAGCTTCAAGGAGGGTCGGTCCCTTGTACCAGTCAAGGTTGGTGGACCTTTCAATCATGTTATCACCCTCAAAACCAGAGATTGGGACAAATGGGATCTTCTCAGGGTTGTATCCAACCTTCTTCAAGTAGGATGACACTTCCTTCACAATTTCATCATATCTAGCCTTGGAGTATTTGGGAGTAGTGGCATCTATCTGCAAAGGTCACAAAGGTGCAAAATATTAGATACTGTGCGGATAAATCAAGGCATTAAATAATGACAAATATTTACCTTGTTACAGCAGCAGATCATTTGCTTGACACCAAGGGTGAAAGCAAGCAAAGCATGCTCACGGGTCTGACCATCCTTTGAAATACCAGCTTCGAAACCACCAGTAGTGGAATCGATGATAAGAACAGCACAGTCAGCTTGTGAGGTTCCAGTGATCATGTTCTTGATAAAGTCACGATGCCCTGGGGCATCAATAACTGTGCAGTAGTACTTGGTGGTCTCAAACTTCCACAAGGCAATATCAATGGTGATACCACGCTCACGTTCAGCCTTGAGCTTGTCAAGCACCCACGCATACTTGAATGACCTCTTGTTCATCTCAGCAGCTTCCTTCTCGAACCTCTCAATCACACGCTTGTCAATACCTCCAAGCTTGTAGATCAAGTGTCCAGTAGTGGTCGACTTACCAGAGTCGACATGGCCAATGACCACAATACTGATGTGAACCTTCTCCTTACCCATTCTCAACTTTTAATAAAAACTGCAGCAGTGCAACAGAGAGAGTTAAATTAATCTATGGGAAACAAGTTAAACAATATAATCACAACATAAAAAGAGCAGTACAGTATTACCAAGTATAAAAACCACATCCATTTATTTATACCCTAAAAATTGCTCAATGAAAGAAACTTAATATTTTTATATAGATATATAAACTTAAAATCATATCCTGCACTTTAATTGATCAAAGATGCACACACTTATTACTGGAAACTAATCCTCACAAAACTATTATGTAAAAACACATGTAAACAACACAGTTTGCAGTTCATTTTTGTATTACAAAATACTTATATCTAAATAGTTTTGGAAAACAGATGTTAGAATTAACTCAGTAGCTGAAAACGCATTCCTTATATCAAAATCACTAACAAAAGCATACAAAAGGATACTGAATGTATCATATCAAGCAGATTCAAAAACAAAGCAAACTACAAGTACGTTTAGTCGTTTATGCACCCAACTGTGCCTAAAAAACTCAAAAAAAGAAAGCATCGAAGCAAATCAATTCAATAAACTCATAAAAGAAAGCATCGAAGCAAATCAATCCAATTTCCATGCTTATAAAGCCCTGAGTGTTACATCTGTACGGTGAAAAATCAAACTAAACAAGCCAATAACAGATCTATCAACTTCGAAACGAGATCAGCAAGTTTATATGAAAGAACTACACAAAGATCAACAAGCTTATACGAAAGAAAAAAAATCCAAAGAACTAAACAAGATCAGCAGTAGCTTATACGAAAGGACAAGGAACAGACACAAACGAGCATAAACACAGATAAATTCAGTGATAAAGAGATGCAGAGAGAGTGGATTACCTTTCCTCGCTCGACGGCTGCGGCAGAGGGAAGACAGGATGAGCGTTTGCAGGAGCGAGGAGCGGAGCAAGAGGAAGGGTATTGAGGCAACAAGGAGCTTATATAGTTGGAGAAAGCGGTGTAATTAGGGTAAGACGACTCTATGTCTCTATATCCTACTTGTGTTATACTTGTGTTACGATAAGGTCATACTAGAAAATAAATCGCTACGATAACGTCATATCATACTACAAAATAAATTACTTAAAACGGGCTTAGTACGCCGGGCTAGTTCATCCCGACCTGTCAAAATGGGCGGGATAGACTTTATTTAAATTTTATAACTTGTATTTTGATGGGTTTTTTTATCATTTTTTCCTGTTAAAATGACGGGCTTGGACGGATACATTATTAATATTGTATATATATATATATACACTATTTTATATTATTATATATATAAATATATGTTAATTTATTTATACTGAAAAATGTATTAGTAACTAGAACATGGTACAAAAGAAAAATTTGTGTGAGATGGTCGGGTCGGACCAAGATGAAAATGTAATCCTTATGCGCACAAGTGTTATACTTATATGATCAAAAGTAATACTAATCATGATTAAAAAATTTGTTACTTATAAGTGTACTAGTTTTTTACGCGCATTGCGCGATTGGGATAATGCCCAATGTTTTTTTTTTTTTTAAATAAGTACTTTAAAATATATTAAGGCAATATTATATTGAAATTGTTCATGCATAGATAATTGAAGGTTGAATTTGCGTATTTAAATAGGTAATTCTTCTCCCAAAGGTTGAGTCCCCAACTCCAAGGGCCCCCCACACTCCGACCCGACAGAGCATTGTGGAAAGTTGTAAATCACGGTGACTCAATGGTTCAGCAGACAGGACCAAATGCCGGTGCGAACAAGGAATCTGCCCACTTTGGACATAATTCCCGCACTGCCGCCGCCGAGGTTCAAACCTTGGTCTCTTCTCCCAAATACTGCCCACTAAACCATTGAGCTAAGCCCGTGCGGGTTAAATAGGTAATTCTAAGTTTACAAATGCAAAATAATATAGTCAAGATTGATTATAATTGTCAATAAAATAATTGTATAGGTATGGTTGAAACCAAATACGGGACATAAGGGAGAACAAATAAAAATTAGAGCATAAAATATTAAATATATACTAATATTGTTTGAGGAGATTTCGACATTAGGATTTGTGGTTAAGTTCTATTAAGACTTTAATATTAGAATTAGATTAATGGTGTAGTTATAATTCTATATTAGACTTTAATATTAGAATTAGACTAACCGTGAATTAACGGTATTAAACGGAAAAAGTTAAATGGATAATCATATAATTAAGGATAAATTAGAAAAACTTAAAAAAAAAAAAAAAAAACCTGAACAATCTGAACCATTCATTTGATTTAATCATTTGGCGGTCATTTTTTCTACCCAATGTTAATAATTAAATAAATTCGTTGGTCAAATCCGCTAATATAATCCGCTAACTGCTGATTGTCAAACAAGGACATTGCAAGGTAGTTCTCACTTCAATTTGTTGTGTGATTTGAATACTCTCTTTGTCACAAAATCTCTCAAAGTAGTTAATATGGTTGGCTTTATTAATTATATTTTTTTTAATTTTTTCATGGTATTAATAAAATACTTGGTAAATAAATATATAGCATTATTTTGTATTATAACTTTGATATTTAATTAAAAAAAATGCACAAAAAAGATAATAGACAATGTAGTAAATATAATCAATTGATGAATTTAAATGTAAAAAGTTTTACATTTAAAAAAAATAAAGACAATATAACTAATGAAAATATTTCTCTTAATTAATTTATTGATAATGAATAATTTTTTTCACTGAATTAAGACATTGTAAGGACAATGTAGCGAATATAATCAATTAATAAATTTGAATATAAAGAATTTTTATATTGTAGAAAAATAAAGACAATATAACTAATACAATTATTTCTCTTATTTAATTTATTGATAATAAATAATTTTTTTTTGAATAAAGACATTGTGGACACATAATTCTAAATTAAAGAAATGCATATCTATAATTTTTTGTTGTAGCTACTAAATTATTATTTATATAATTTAATAAGAGTAAAATAGAGTACTAATTATGCCAACTTTGATTGGGATGAGGTTCGAACCTAAGACCTTTTTTTATTGAAATCAATGAGTAAGTTAATGGTGAACTAACGGCAATTCTTAAAATTTTAACGGAATTAGTAACGGTGTGTGGGTATTTTAGAAAATTTTAGTATAAAATTTAAATCTTATCAATCTTTTAATTTTAATCAATCTGAGCCATTCATTTGATTAAAATCTGTGACCGCCATTTTTTCTACCCATTATAGGTCTAACTCTCTTGGGCTCTTATATATATATATATATATATATATATATATATATATATATATATATATATATATATATATAGTAGAAACATAATTCTTTTAAGGGAAAATGTAAAACTTTTACATTTTAATTTAAAAATATTACATTTTCCCTCAAAAGTATTATATTTTCCATTATAAGTAAGGGGCACTTGCAAACATTACTTATTATGGAAAATGTAATACATTTGATGGAATTTATAATATTTTTACATTATAAAATGCAAAAGTATTACATTTTTCCTAAAAAATATTACTTTTTTCCTTATAAGTAACAACAATTTTATTTCTGATTAGTATTACATTTGAGCATATAAGTATGACATTTGCATATTGATTCGACCCGACTCGATCTCTTCTCACGAATAAAGATCCGTGAGACAGTCTCACACAAGTGTGACCTTTGTATAAATTATTTGTTATTGCTTTATATATTCACATATTATATATATAATTATGTATTATTTATTAGAACTTATTACTATATTAGTTATTATTGTGTTCAACAAACTATAAATGTATTAATATATGTTTAAACTATTTAACAAATTCTGCGTGGCGGGGCGGATTGGCCTATTTTAGGCTCGTATTTTGGCGGGCTTTTTAGCATGCCCCCGTTTGCCGGCCCGTATCAACAATTCTAACGACGAGATTGCTTTTTATGGAGTATTAGCATACGCCCCCATAGGCTATCTTTATCATGTAATACTCTCTCGCTTTCAAAAGTTAGAGCAACCCCAATAGAGGTTTTTGTGGAATTTTTTCAGCATAAAAACTAAGTGTATGATTTTTAACTAATAGGAGCCTTGGTTTTTTCTTGAATTTTTCTCCTGCAAAGACTTGGTTTTTGCAGGAGAAAAAAAAACACACAAGGAAGAGGTGCGGTACAAGCGCACGAGCCACCCAGCAGGCGCGTGCAACGGAGATTCAAAGTGGTCGCCAGCTGGCGGACACTCTGAATAAAGCTTTGTTTTATAAAAAAAAATTATAAAAACTGGTTGTTTCAATCTTGATTTTTTTTTAAAATTAATTTTTATAAACATACTCAATAATTTTTTAAAATTTTATATTGCCTATTTATTTAATTTTTTTAATTTAACATTATTATTAAATTTATGATTATCAATTAAAATAAAATTTATTAATTATAAATTATAATATTATTAAATATATAATTATCAATAACATTGTTATCAAATTTATAATTATAATTACAATTATAATTTTTAGAATGATAATAAATAAGGAAATAATTAAAATATAGTGAAGTAAAATGGTGGGTCCATAAAAAATTAGAAAAAAAAAAATCTAAAACTAATGACGAAAAAGGTTTTTTTTTTTTTTTTTTTTTTTTTCTTTAAGATTAAGTGAGATAGTTAAAGATGAGGTGGATGCTGGGACCCACAAAAAACTTATGAAAAAACCTCAATTATTGAGGTTGCTCTAGAGCATCCATAACAATTTATATTTTGTGGTTTTTGGAACAATACATGATGGCATGGTGGGGAGCAAAGGCAAGAGAGAGAAAAATGGGGTTGCTCTGCAAGGGAGGGATTTCTTTTGAGAAATGTGGGACCCACTGAAGAAGTCCTCCACTCAAAACGGGCTTAGCCCGCCCCGTCTCGCGGAAAGGGCAGGGCGGACTTTGATCTTTCGTGTCCGTAGTTTGGCAGGCTTTTTAGCCCGCCCCCGCTTAACCCGCGGGCTTGGCGGGCCGACAGGGGCCTGCCAAGCCATATTATATATATATATATATATATATATGTGTGTGTGTGTGTGTGTGTGTGTGTGTGTGTGTGTGTGTGTGTGTGTGTGTGTGTGTGTGTGTGTGTGTGTGTGTGTGTGTGTGTGTGTGTTACTCCGTATATCATAAGTCAGGCATTTATAGTATATAGTAATGTATACACTATACCATTAGTGTATTGGAAAATGACTTCTCTCCAAAAAAAAAAAAAAAAGGAAGTCATTTTCCTCCAAAACATACCTATTTTCCTTTGACTAAAGTATCATTTTTCATTGAAAACATTTTCCAGAAGTCATTTTCCGGGTTTTCAAACGCATCCTTAATTGCATAATTCTTTAATTACAATTCGACAATATTAGTAAGCTTATTATAATCATGTTGCTTTAAACAAAATATAAGTAAAGTTTGACTTATTCATCAATATCGTATTAAGAAGTTAATCTATTTTAAGAGTTAATTCCAGCAATGGTCCTCCGACTATTGCGATTTTTTAAAATTGGTCTTCGACTTTTAATTTGGACGAAAAAGACACTTGACTTTCTAAACCATTCCACCAAAGGTCCTTCTGTCCAATATTAGTTTGTTGGCTATTAATTTAAGGGGCAAATTTGTCTATTCAGTATATTGTTTTCTTCTTCCTAATTTCACATGTATAGCCTAGCTTATTTGATGTTTCCTAGCTTATTTGACTCACAGAAGCGCGAAGAAAGCACGAAGAACACCACAACTTCTTCACCGTCTGAAACCGCCGACCACTTTACACAGCTTTGTCGTCCTCTTCCACTGCCAAGCTTATCACCACCACTGTTGCCACCTTCTGCTGCTACACCTGCACAACCTAGTCACCACCCTCACCACCTTCCTCGTCATCTCAGCCAGGTCCGCTGCTGCCTCGCTTCAGACTACCAATTGTCAACCACTTCACCCAGCTGCCACCGCCCGTCATGCATCCTCGTCATCCTCATCTAACC